AATCTGTGCGAAGAACCGACGGGCTAGTGATGGCCTGTACGATGGAGTACACCATTGTTGTAGAACAGCAGAGCCTACTCAAGCTTGCCTCCTCTAGCCTGCATGAACTGGGCCAAATCCCCACCCTCACAGTATTCAAGCACCAAGTAGAAGTGTCCTTGGGATTTACGAAGGTCTATGAAACGCACAATATTCTCATGTCGCAGCTTCCTGAGAGCGCTGACCTGAAGGTGACCCATGACCCGAGCCTCTGTGATGCAACTCTAGACCCACCTCCTGCCTCAACTGACTAGTCTCCTGCACTGTACCTCTATTGATAACCTTCACTGCCACTAACTTATCCGGATGAGATATCATATGTCCCCGCCAGACCTAGCAAGCAGTGTCGCTTCCCTCAGAACGACTGCTCATACCTGGGCATAGCTCCCCCTGCCTATCCTCTGGTCCAATATATACCCACCGACTTGCTTCTTCCCAGCCACGGCACTACTGCTGCTCCGAGATAGAGACCCTACCATATACACTGAGACTCATCACACAGCAGAGGGACACTACCAACAGCACTGCGATGAGCATCGGCCGCATCAGCGTGAAAATCATCATCATCTGTCTTCACGGTGTCTGTTCGTACCAATGGAGGCGGACGAGCTGCGTGTCCTTTGCGACCTCTTCCCATTGGAATCAGTCACTACTACATCCCCAAACGGTCCCTCCCCCTCCCACACCCAGTATTAACATGAACAATAAAGCACCAGACTCGGGAAGGCAACTGTAAAGCACGCGAATGATACTTCTTTAATGTCTCTAATAGTCGCTCTCGCCGGACTCGGATTCCCTGAGAAGTTCCCTAATGATAAGAACGACGAGACTTCCCTACGAGACAGAATCATCATCCAGCCTTCGTTTCTTGGATGAACTCTCCTCCCTCTCACGCTGATTCAGCTCCTCACACTGGTCCACCCAATGAGCATATACATCGACCGGCTCGTGAAGATCTGATCGTATAACGCCACCCTGTTTCCCAGTAATACCTCCCATCTACCGAAAGGTGCATTGGACTCGCATTATGCCGTACCCTAGAAAACTAATTCTCATCATATTTATACATATCCCTACTAGATCACTATTAGTACAATATCCTAAGAAGCTATTTGCCACCATATTATGAACATATACACACTACCCTATATTATACACATCCCCCTGAATGGGCGTATTACATTGTATCCGCATTTGGTAATCTACATGGCACATCCTACATCGCAGAGTCCCTATCTTCTTATGTCGATCCATCAGGACCTCTATACACCTGCCAACTGACCCCTCCCCCCCAAATGATGCTATTGCTATTACTTCTCACTATTGCAGAATGGGCAATCAAAGGTAGTGTCCAACTTAGGCTTCGGCCTCGCTGCCTTCATAGCCTTCCTGAAGGAACAATAATCAACATCCTTCGACAACTGAACTGGTGCTGCCCTCTAGCCGACACCTCTCATAGTCCCCTACTGCTACTACCCCTTTCGTCTGCCCATCCTCGACTATCAATAAATAGAAGTAGATTAGGAAGCCAATCCTGACAGAACCCTCCTACCCCAATCCTACCACCACCACCACTGGACAACACAACAATTGTCTCCCTTTCCTCAAGTGAGCTGCTAGGCATCATGCATCATCAGTAGTAGTAGCAGAATAGTAGTAGATGCATACAAGCACCATAGAACAATGCTACACGGACTACACACTACTAAAC